AAACAATAAAACATCTGACCTTGGTTCACAACATATTTATTGAACATTGATTAGTAAGTAGAGCAAATTAAAACACAAATGAAGTTTAAATAACAGCTTAAATATAACATTTAAAACAAAAAAATAAGAAAATTCATTACTTACCTAAAATATTTCGTAATTTTTCTTTCATTTCTTGGAAAATTTTAGATTTATGACATTCTGCAATACCATCATTGAATAATTGTACAAGTAGGTCACAAGTATGTGGATTTGGAAAGAGAATTTCAGCGGTCAATTTTTCACATTCAACATTAACCGGTTCAACTAGTAATAATAACAATAATAATAATAAAGGTGTTTAAGGAGATGAATTGTCTTTTTTTTTGGAAAAATAATCCCATCAAGGATTGATGCATACTTACTTATTGATGACAAATTGTCATGATATAAACCAGCCATGACACAACGTAATGATTTAATCGTTCTAGCAATGAATGTAGTTCTTAGACTAAACAATTCAAAATCAATGAAATGAGACTACTGAAATGAAACATACTAAAATTGTGATGATTGAAATTTGTCTGAAAGGAAATGACAATTTTCTCTATAGTATTTTTTCAAACGATTGCCCAAATTCAATGCATCTAATTGACCACCTTTGGTTAATTCACCAACTCTGTTACCACCCTAAAAAAAATTATTTATTTATTAGTAAGATTATTAGAGAAGCCGAAAAACAACACACACACACACACAAAGTGTTAAAGTACTTACAGGTAAAATAAATAATTTATCCAGATAGTCATTAGTTAATTCAATTTGTTTTTGTGTTGAAATATCAATTAAACGATATGGAAATAATGTATGCGATAAATCTGTAGACATTTCCGGAGACCATATAGCCTGAAAAAAAATGATAGTTTAAAATGGTAAATTGATTGACAGGATAGCTTACTTCAGGACAAATGGATGATTTTACATGAAATAAAGGTGTACGTGCACCATGTCGAAAAAAAACTTGAACTTGTAAAAGTTTCATGGAATTTTCCCTTAAAATTATAAAGTTATTATTGAATAGATATACTTACATTATAATTAGTAATGTATTGAATACTTATATGATGATTCGGGAAAATTCTAGAGATCTAAAAGATGAAATAAGAAATATAGTAAAATTAGACTGTATGTAAGTATCATAGGATGGATGTTTCACATAATACATATATATATATATATATATATTTCTCTTAATCTTTATAGATTTAAGAAGACCGGAACGAGATACAATTTTAAATTATATGGTATGACATTCTATTTAGGTAGTCAAGTGAGAAAAGTGCAAACTTCGTGCCAACAAGGAGATTTAAATACTCAACAATAAATAATATTTATGCCAAGATGTGTGTGAGTGTAGGAAGGATTTGATTTCGACCACTTTGGTCTCTCGTGCTGTTACGGGTATGAGGGCGGTTGTCACTTCCCGGCTGCCCACACCACTGGAAGGTTGTTTCTTGACGGACCTGAAAAGGAAGATAGATTAGTGTTGGTCTTGGAGACCTGGGAGCGTGACCGCAGAGTCCAGGGGAGAACTGCTTGAGGCCGGTCACGCACAGCCTTTTCATGAAAGTTTATTTGAGGATTAGCTCAGCTTTTGGAGGCCCTTAGTGGGCACCCTTACCCAAGGAGACGGACATCCGTGAGGTAGGATGAGGTGTGACATTTTTAGGGTCGACCTTTTCTAACCCTTCCTTCCTTGTGAGAAGGCAGCATCGCTGCAGATTCTGGTTATCCGAGGGAAACACCTTACTGCTGTCATACCCCTCTGCAGTCAGCAGTACGACTTCGCCCTCAGACCTTATTTACACCAAGATAATTGGAAATTTTTCGATACCACTAAATGTTGGAAATTAATTAGCCTTGGACAGCTTTTTGTTATGATAATAAGTCAATCATAGTTATTATGTGGGAAATAATTATACCGCTATCTTGTCTATGATATCATATAGCTGGTAGATGAGGTCACTTAAATGCTCAGTATTTGAGGGTTTTAAACAAATCGTCGTGTAAAAAGCTGATTACAAGAAATATAATTAAATTTAATGAAATATTAGGGAATAATAACACGATACAACGTTGAAAACAACCTTAATCGTCCGATAACCGAAGTCAAGCACTTGCCGAAAAAAGGAGGAGTTTTCTGTCATATGGCCACATGTGTAAAGCCACTGACATGGAAGTTATACTCTACTCCTTTTCGTGGCGGGGGTGTTGTTTACGAAGTTTAGAGGAAAAATGACGAGTGTTTGGCAAGGCTTAAATCTGGTCAATGGGTACAGAGGATTCACCAAGGAGAGTTGAAAAATAATGATTCCAAACCAATGATTTAAATGAACTCCAAGATGCTGATGGAACAAAAGGGGCATAGACTTATTCTTGGGCACTGGATACTATGGGACTGCATTTTATGAGGTTGCAGCACTGTCTTGGCGATTAGACATGTAGGTCAAAGGCTTGGGGTTTCACACCGTAAGTAAACTACCTGCTTTAGTTTATGCAGCTGGGTAATAACTCATTCCAGACAAAAATTCAACTATTTGTGTAGTGCATACAATATTATGGTCTTTGAATCGGACCATATTATGTTCAATGTCAATACAAACGTTTTGCAAAAATGATCTTCATATTCTTTATTCGAAATACTAGCCTAAGGTTTTGCGTTTATATCTAACTTTCAACTTATGATTTAAATCCATCATTAATTTAAAAATTTTCTAGTTATTAGCGTACTTTATGAATTCAGTTGAGGTGGTTGGGACACGTGTTACGAATGCCTAACCACCGACTGCCAACAGGAGCTGTTTTGTGGTGTAGGAGTAGGTTGGAAGAAAGTTAGGGGCGGCCAAACCAAAACATGGCAGAAATCCATGAAGTCACTGACTAGTGGAGGGAGTCATGTTGGTAGATGTAGGCTATCTGGTTGGGGTCCGCGAGACGAAAGTCACCTATGGTTAGAGACCTTGAACGACATGGCTCAAAATCGTTTGCAATGGCGCAAGTGCATCTATTCGTTGAGCTCTCTCAAATCCTAATCTTCTGGAATCGTCAGCACCTCTACCGTTGTTTTTCTAACCTTATCTCACTGAATTATACTTCTTGAATAATATCTTCGAACCCTAGTCTTCTTTATTACCATTAATACCCCTATTATCTTTATCACTATGGTATTTGATTCGACGTTTGCGTCTCTGTGCTAATGTGGTATGGCAAGATGAACTTATGTACATATGTACAAAGTTCTACGTTGCAACTGACTGATTGACTGCACTTTATGTATGTAACTAAGATCCCTTTGTGTGTTTTGAAAAAATACATGAAAATTTTTGTAAATTTCTATCATCAACAGCTTATTCATTCCCTGGATAAAGATTTATAAAAATTGACCATACTATCTTTGAATTATCGATCATAATATTTTTTCAAAATTGATAAATAAATAATTGATGGATTTATTTACAAAGTGCCCAATATATACAAACGAAGAAGTCATTATTATACAAACAAATTAGAAGGATTTTTCGGAAAATTGAAATCTTGTTTTTTGACTAGTTACAAGTAAATTCACTGAGATTGTTATTTAATTATTTGGGCAAACTTTCATGTGTATAAAGCAGCCGCTATTCCAAAACCTAATTTATATTCAGAGATTTCAAAGAATATTTGAGACTAAATAAAAGGCATACATAGTAAATAATTTTATTTAGAACTGTGCTACTAACAAGTAGCAAGTGTATAGGACTGTTTACTATTTTTTTTGAAAACGTAATGCGGAACTTTGAAGTTTACGATTAACGATGCTATCCTGTAATCTAGAAAATACATAATACAACACTATATATGTACTTCATTTCAATAACTTTTGTTACAACCCTAAAATAAATCTGAACATTAAAAGGAGGATTATACAAATTGTGATGAAAAGTTGTACAAGTGATAAGGAAAAATATGGAGATGTAAGATCACAGTCATACAACTGGTAACATTGACAGCCAACAGCCAACTATTGGACCAATTAGGAATAACAATTCAGTCAAGACTTGTAAAAGTTTCGATATTCGGTTCCAAAAAGTAATGATTGGACTCTGCACTACAGAAAATGTATCCACAAATATCGGATGAATTAGTGGTGCATTTGGCAATACAAAGTTGGTTTCTATATATCTCAGACGAGACCCCTCAACAAGAACAGTTTTTCAGATCTGCGAATACTTTTATAATGATAGGTTGTTAAAGGCTATTTTCAAACAGCTATGGATAAAGGTTTCATACTAGTAGCATAAATTAGAAAGGTTAATTTAAATCCTTTATCTCTAAAATTGGATCAGCACTGAGAACTAGGCAACTATGATATTAGTGAAGTTATATCAAGCTATTTGTTTGAAAGATTTAGTCGTACAGAAGGTCAATGTTACATGTTTAAATCTCACACCAAGATTTGTTAGTTTTGCGCCAAACCATAATTTCACGTTACACTGATGATGTACTTGGCTAAACTCGGTATGGGATTGATTGTTAGTCCAAAGTATATACGCCACAAAGATAGATCTATAGATAGTGACAATCGGCAAGCAATTAATGGATACAAAGGATTGTTTTGATTGAAAATATTCGTGTTAATTATGTAAAAGTGGAAATATTTTTAGAAATATATATACTTGTAGACAGACCATTTAACACAGCAGAATTTAGAGAACATGGACGGTTTGAAAGTGTCTTGATACTGAAACAGTTACGGATTTATGTCTGTTAGTTACAACCCGAAAACTACCAATCACATATTCAACAAGTAAAATAGGAAACTAGATTGAAAGGAACGAATGTATCCAAGAAACATCTACGGTGAAAAGAATAACTCATTACGGAATTGTTATATATTACCAATTTTAAAATCAGATAGCTCAATGAAACGAGTTGTAAAATTGAATAGCTGGTTAATGTGTTAGGATTTAAAAGCATTCTATGAGAGAATAATAAAAGGGAAGAAATCCTGTCTAATATATGTTCATCAAAGAGCTTCTTACAAGGACGATTCAACTTGTTTTCTGGTTAATCCCGACCTGTGGCTCTATTTTCAACAAGTACTACGCTTAAAGCTTGTAATAGAAACCCCTACGAAGTCAAGTAATGAGGTACAGAACAACTTAACTACGTCAGTTACAACCAGAAAACCCTATGTGCGGCACTTCAGTGCTAAAATTATTTCGTTAAGTTACAAGGAAAATAAATGTTAAAGATCCAAACCTAATAACATTTTGAAATTATGATGCAAAGACTTTGAATGACAGGAAATCAAGAAGTAAAAGGAGGAATTTTCACGAAAAAAATATTTGATGAAAATGGCAAATAGCTTATTAAGTATAATTTCCACCACATCATTAGCACGATAAGCAAACTTACCAGGCAGAGCCTGTTGTATGATTTAGGATACCCAGAAGACCAGATATTCCAACATCATTTATTGGGGTTTTTTAAACCGGATTAATAAAATAAGCTTGATCGTTTCAAAACTGATTATTAGGTCTCGCTACTTGTAATTTTTGCTTGGCAAACAGCTATCAACTAGAACGAAGATCAGTGTTAAGATTGCTTTCTATACAAATGAACAATTATTTCATGCCATAAACCACAAAACAGTGGTAGGTTCAAACAAATATAAATACTACTAACATATGTACTCATGATTTTAAGACCTGATAAGTGGGGCTGAATTTGTTATCAAAATATATATACCAGAAGTTAACAAAAGAAGTGGTTCGAAGAGTGAGTTCAAGTAGTTATGTTGACAAAACAAACTCAAAGTCATTTCAATATAAAATCTTCTTAAGAAAAATGCTTTAAGGGTAGAAATATGGATATGGTCTCCAACAAATAATGATAATCTATGTCCGAAATGATGCTTAATATCATCACTAGCACAGAAACCATGATATTTAATTGTCATAAAGACTAAGTACTAATTACATCTAGAACTTGACAACAAAATGTGCCTGTATTACACAGAACAGTAAACAATTCATGGTTTTAACAGTGAATCACGTGAATGGCATAAATGCCTAGAATATAAAAGAAATAAAGAGACTGACTTACGATTCATGAGCGTAAGTTGAAAATAGTTTAGAAATAAGCGCTGAAGCTGAGACCTTCAAAAAAGATCCCATGACCAATATACCGACCAGTTTTAAAAATAGCAACACATTTGTTCATCCTTGTTTCTGATTGCAAGAAAACCAATAAATCGGTGAGAAAGAAGTAAGGTAATCAGCAAAAATTTAGAGATGAACAAATTGAGATGGGAAAATCTCGAGAAATCCACAGACAAACGTACAGACAAATATTATTTGTATTGTATTTTGAATTATATAGATGCCACTTCCGTGACTTTGTCTTGTAAGCCGGTTAGGAATCATTTGAAAGGGAATACTGATAATTGCAGAATTTCGAGGCAATTACGAAAGACAGTTGGCACAGAAAAACCTCGTTAGCCCAAAACGATTGTTTTAGTACATAAACTGAAGAACAAAATTTAGTGATGAAATCTCTCTCATATTATTGCTCAAAGACTCATATTTACTATCTGAATTAGATTTGCCCGAATCGAAGTCTAACAAACTAATTCAGCGAGGTCTCCTCTGTAGGTACAACTATCGAAATTTCTCGTGTCCACACTGTTGAGACACCAAACTATTCGACCAGCACAATCTTCGCATCTTTTTATCGACTATCGCTAATAATTATATCTGGTTCATGAACCATCAGGAATACTTCTGATTCAAGTATACCTCTTGAAAACCGTGAACTATTTCGAAGCGATAAGTTTTAACGACAGGGTGAAGAGAGCCTCATATATGCCCACACAAGCCTGAACTCAATACTTTATCGTGTGCTTGAAGTAAACAAATTGCGAGATTTTGTAGGGGTTGTCTCAAAACCCTAAGATTCATATTGGCTATGTTTACTATCAGTCTTTAACTGTCCTAATATATCAAAATATTTTGGATTCATTTCCACAAGTAACCTTATCCTGATACCATATATATTGGAAAAACATTCACAGGTAGCGATCATAATATCTTGATATGCAGTCTTAATATAAAGACAACACGTATAAAATGTAAAACCACCACACTAATAGTCAGTTGATTAAAAAACATACCAAATTGCCTTAGAAGCATTGACTGAAAAACATTCTTTGCCGTGAACATTACTGACAAAAAAACATGTTTTATTAAAACGCTAGCAATATCTTCAATAAGATCTTAGTCACAGGACACTGGATACCCAGGATTTCTGAGGTTTTACATTCGCCAAATCGAAAACAAAAACGCCTTTGATGACACGCCACGAGACTACGTAATCTTAAGGACTTCTTCTATTTAGTTACAATGACAGAAATATTTTTCAAGGTAAAGTTACAAATAGACAGCCGAACAGGAAAACGTGCCGTCGAACTGAAGCATGACTCTTCTGTACTTATCAGAATCCCTCGTAATAAACGTAATGCTTCAAAATAAGAGCAATAAGTGTATTTAATAGGGATAACTAAGTGTACAAAGACCCTGAACGCATGATAAAGTTGTTTCGCGAACACATTTGTGCCTCATTAACAAACGAAAACCAACTAACTGAATCAAACGCGACCTTAAAACCTTCCTGTGAAATCACCAGTTCAGATTTCAGTGTAGATGCAATTAATGCACTGAACTAGACGGTGTTCGGTTCATGAGGTCCATGCTCAATAGACTATCTGAATTATATAACTGAAATATATTATGAACAGCTGCTAGTATCAATCCTAATTTTTAACTTCAATAAAGCTCTAGACAGGGTACCACGCAAATAGCTGCTGTTCAAATTAAAGTCATTCGTAATCAAAAATCAGTCATTTTCATTCATTCCTAAATAAATACTAACAAATAATCTGTTAGTGAGCTGCAGGCATAACTCAGTATGTGCGTGCATCAGGATAGGTTAACAGTCCACACTATTATTCTGATCGAATCGCCAAGTTTAGTTACCTGTTAGTAAAGGTAATAGAAGTATTAGATATAATGGAGAAGACTAGGATTTTAAGGAAATAATGAAGATATATAATCCGATGAAGTAACTATATGTGAGATAAGACAAGGACCTGAGCACATGACATCAAAAAGTTGTATCAGTATCATTAGTTACCATCAGTTACACCTTCCTATATCTTTAGGAGCCATGAGTACAGACACAGATTACTAAAATAGCTGTTAGTAACACTGTGCCCTTGGCCAATCTTCCCGAAAGAGCCGGAAATTCTTCAGTCTCCCGAGTCCCAGATATTTTGTTACGAACAGTATAAATAAATCCCCGACCTGCACATTTAAAAGTCAATCGTTACAAAGCTTGATTCTTTGCAACAGTGTGGAGACGATGGTTTGCTATCTGATTAATGTTGGAGTGGAAATAAACGTCCTTCTAGTTTTCCTTCTACGGGTGGCAAACGTAAAACCGGTCACCACTTACGAAAATGGCACATATACATAGACGTGAGTATACACAAACCCATTCGCCGTATTTTCGTTGCGGTAGAGGTGCCAATAACAATCAGAGTCATAGATCTGCTACAACATTAGAACCTAATTGTCTTACAAGGCAAACGTGTGTAGGTAGAAGGCAATAATAATTAGTCTGTTTGTGGAGTATCAGTCTGTGGTTTTAGGTTATGTCCAGTCACGATGAAACACATAATAAACCAGTTATTTCAACCAACACTCGACAGGTACCTGTAACTACTGAAGATTTGCTCAGTAACCGTGTCTAAAAAACAGTGTTGCACATCACATCACAACTACACGACCAACAACGTTTTCAAAAGCCCGGTAGCTAGCTCCGCAGAAGCTAATAACTACCACAAACAGATTAGAAGTTATCCGACTGACAAACTTCCAGAGGGAGTTCTCGTCGCATGTGGTCACAAAATAGGGCAGAAATGGCAGACATCTAACTAGTGATTATCGGCGGACGATCAAGAAACCCACACATGTTTGTCACCCGTTGCCTCAAATCTAATACTTAAAAGCTACCCTGAATGATATGTTTTTTCAAAATTCTTTTTGATAAAAGCTGATAACCGGATCCCTGTTGCTATGGGAGCCATTCCTAAGACGGATGTCATCAATATTTTGGTTCGTAAATTTACGACGCCTCAGAGATTACGTATCTTAAGGTCCGCCTAACCGCCAATCCAGCATACACTTCTTCTTTCCCATGGACTTCGATAACCTGGCATTAAAAATAACACACATAAATGTCATAGTTGGAATGGCGTTTTTTCGGCATACTAGTGATGTTCTAGGAATTCTCCCTTCGTATAAAAGATTGGCATCTGATCTGGATCACCTAGAATCGATCACAGTCAACCAGCTACACATGTTTAATGCTATGTTAATTTTTTACTGATTTTTAATTCTGAATAGCTCGTTTCCTAATGAACGTATGACCTACAAGCTAGGTGTAAATTCGGAAACCATCAATAAAGACGGCATTAAGAAGAAATCGTTATCCAAAGAAAAAGTCCACGTCTCTAAATCAACTGTGTTGGCCCGACTCGGCACTAAGTTACCCAGTGATACAGTAGTAAAGGTACGTGGCGTGGCAATCGAGTAAACACAGCAATAATTGACCAGTGACCAAAGTATCATCGGAAAGTTTGTAGTTTTTTAGCGTAATTCTCTGTCAAGCACTTTCTGATGATGGATCGTCAGTGATATTTAAAATGCCTTGAAAGAACCGACTTCAGAAATCGCGCAAAAATCGGCTTAAAACTCCTTCATCTTTTGTTGGAGACTACTAATGTCGGCTACTTAGTTCTTATCGGGAATTTGAATCGAGATATAGCACATTTGACAGAGTAGTCCTGTTTGTATTTTGCTGTACGACACTCGATGCACTGCAGATGGAGTTATTTTCGAATGATATGAGTAGATCAAACATCTGTAGAGGAAGTTCGGACAGTCTTCATTAAAGGTTTTCGTCAAATTTTCGTTAACCAATCAACTCTCTAATACGCAGCTAAATTTCTGTCCTTGGTTAGGTTTGCCGTACAATCTTGTAGAAAAGCTTGCTTGACATTTATCAATTGGTGAGGCCTCCGTGTTTAGCGATCGCTTTTTCAGTGTGTTGAAGGGTGTGTAAACATCATAAATAATCATACCGGGTGTTACTTAACTGTTCAACTAATGCGTTAGTGCCTTGACTACGGTGAGGAGTCGTACAGATGGTGTTCATCGATGTCAGCCACTTCATATCAGTACCGGTCTTTGGTGTTGTCGGGCTAGAATGGCATGACTTGAAAGTTTGGAGGTCCAAGAGACCTAATTTGAAGTAGGATAAGAGGTATAAATAGATGGCGATTGCGATTTCGATGAGTCGATGAACTAAGCTTGCAAGTTGATGCTTGGCGATGCTTGGCATGGTGCTCCCCGGTTATTTGGTTTGGATGTTTGTTCAAATACCTTCAAGTAGAGTGCTGGTCTTGCTCCGCGAGGTAATCTTCGAAAATTTGGCCATCCGAGGGCAAACAACCAGGTCCGTGCGCCTTTTTTCTCATCGGCAGACATTAAAATTCGGGATTTCATTCTATCAGAGGTGATCACAAACTCCTTAGTGGGTAGCTTTTAGAAGAGACTCGATAAACACTTAATTACACACGGAATATCAGCTCCGTCTTGAACTGGCTGTGCACGATTTGTGGCTTCAGACCTGTTAGTTATTAGTAATTACATTTCCTCAGATCAACGACTGAATATTTCTCACTGATTATTTCTGATTCCTCTCCTCGCTAACTCTACGATCTTCTGGCTCCATCTTCATTACCAATCCATTAACTTATTTACTCACTTGTTTGCTTAGTTCTGAAATCTTCTTCTGGTTAGGATCACACTTTTCTCCATATTATTTTCCACATTACAAATAACTGATATCCGGCCGGGTAATGTGATAGCTGCTGGTATACAGAAACCCAACTGATCTGGAACAGACGTACTCATTCAAATCATGGGACAAACAAACAAAGAACTGATAGTTGTCTAGAATTAGTGCAACAGAGTTGCTAAACCCACATACATTGGACACTATCAAATATTCGGATCCATATCTAAAGAACAAGAACTAAGCGTTAAGAAACCAATTAGTCTATGCTCAATCGTGAAAAGATACGCAATATTGGATATTGAAAGGCCTTTGATGTAAAGTAGCGCTTGTTTTGCAAAAATGGCTATCGAGATAGAGTCGGCCGAGTAAGCCCGTTCCTCACTGATTTATTTATTTCAGTGTTGTCCGACTTATTGAACAATATCTAAAAGAATGTAATTTATTGAGATCCCTTCAAGTTTTGCAGGTAATTGTTGTTTCTGAGCCTTCCATTTTATACCCTATCACAATCAATACTAACTATGGTAAAAAATTCCTAGAAAATGTAGTATTCTTAGTTTTAATAACTTCTCGGCTATTGTATTTATTTTTCACTTCGCTGAATTTTCAAAACACGAATTAGTTTTTAGGTTATTACATACAGCACTCCTAATTCTCAACATTGTTTAATTACAACATGTAAAAAGCACTAGCTTTGCTGTAATTGAGTTTATATTGCCTGTTTAATTTAATGACTTGAATTTAAATACTTTGTAGGTTGTACGTAATCTCCCAAGACTTCTAGTCTTTAATTCACGCTATAGGTCTATATGCTACAAATAAGTAGGATCGATTAGTAATGTTCTTCGCGGTTAGTTTCTCTACTTTAGAAAGGTTTCTTTACCGTCTAATAAGACTAATGCCAACATGGGGTAGGTACTGCGTTGTCCGTTACTAAAGGATATCCTCTGCCCATAGCACAAGTCTAAATTTCATATCGAAAGATAAATTAAAACATAAACTACTGTAACGTATATTTGGATTCCTTTGAACGGGAATATTCTGAATTTCCTAATTTTGATCTGTTCATAGACCGAAGATTAGTGCATTAAGTTCTGTAAATTTCAGTCTGCTTATCTCGTGAGATTTCTGACAGATACACAATCAGCCTATTAATTACCGTAATCTTACACCATGTAATTAAGCGTGCTGCATTATGCAAGCGTGAAGTGGTTAGACGCGTCAACCATCTGTTTTGGTGAATTTGTGTGAAGGGATTTGGATGAAGTTTTAGGAAGTTTGGTTAGTCTCCTTAATTGTTATTATGGGATTGTAAAGTTTGTTAAGTTACTCTGAAATCATGAATAGAACAATGCCAGACGACCATTAGAAACCAAGAAGCACCGGACGGCCATTTCTTCCTAGAATGGTACTCTTCAGCTGAGCGCATTCATTCAGGACCTTCGGTCTAGCGTTCGAACGCTTAATTTTTAGACCACTCAGCTTGCAGCCAACAGTTGTATCATTTAGTGCACAGACAGGATATCAGTTTGCTAGCCAACAAGCTTACCCTGTTCATCGATTATCAACCATTAGAAGAGGATATCCATAGCCTACAGTAATTAATCAAAGATGCCTTCAGAGCATTCCTCGTGAAGACTACTGAGTGAATCATGTGAAGGTTTAGCATATGGTGCTAAGTAATAATGGCGAGGCAGTCAAGGTGATAAAGAATCGTCACCGACTGACTTGTTTGAGACCTTTCTTCACATCTGCTATCAACTGCCTCAAACAGTATCTAGAAAGATTGTGGCACGACTTAGAATTATCCGCAACGGTACAGGTTCATTCACTCTTTGTCTCCTAAACCTTGAGTTTCTTAGTTATCTTATCAATATTTTTATTCCCAAAATATTTTTTTCTTTCATCGCATGATCTTTGTCTGTTTTATACCAATGACTGTTACTACTTATACTATGGCATCCAGCTGATGAGACCTGGCAAATTGAACTGATGAACTCATGTGCGAAGTCCTGCTTTTCTTATAACTGATTGACTTATCTTCAATGTGAATAAAGTTCTGTGTAAACATTTTCACTAAATTTTTAATTTTAATCCATTTTAGGAGGAAACTGGCATATCACTTAACACAGTCGATTCAGTTGAAGGATTTATGACTGAGATTACTAATGGTCATTGGGACACTGTGTTACAAGTTGTACAAAACTTGAAACTGCCTGATCATAAACTTATGGACCTGTATGAACAGGTGATTTAATACCCCAGTTTTTATTTCTTACTTACAGATCGTTATAGAATTGGTTGAGCTACGTGAATTGGGTGCTGCGAGGACATTATTACGTCAGACTGATCCAATGATAGCATTAAAACAAGCTTATCCTGAGCGGCATGCGCATCTTGAAAACCTTTTGGCTCGATCATATTTCGATCCACGTGAAGTAATTCTGCTTATTTAGATTTATTTTTAGGCTTATTTGGAAGGACAGTCCAAGGAAAAACGTCGTCAAGCCATAGCTGCTTCACTTTCCGGAGATGTTAATGTAGTCGCCCCCTCACGTCTTCGAGCCCTTTTAAGTCAAGCACTAAAATGGCAACAACATCAAGGCCTGCTTCCCCCAGGTACTGCAATTGATGTTTTTCGTGGTAAAGCAGCCTTGAAAGAACTTGAAGATGAAAAGCCACCAGTTACATTATCTGTGACTATTCGAGTAAGTTAATTTAACATTGAAATTTTTTATGCACTTATTTTCCTCTCTTTCATCAGGCTTTACCAGGTGTAGACCTTTAGCTTTAAAATATATAAATTCATTTTTCGACTTGCTGAAAAACATGGCATAAATCCATGAAGTCACTGTTAAGTGGACTGAATCATGTTGGTAGATGTAGAATACCTGGTTGGGATCCGCGAGACAACAGTAATTGATGGTTAGAGACCTTAGACGACATGGCTTAAAATCGTTTGCAATAGCGTAGGTGTATCCACTGTTTGTGTTCTCAGAAATTCTAATTTTCCGAATTCCTCATCACCTCTATCTTTCTCTTTCTAAATTTATCTCACTGGATTATACTTCTTAAATAATATCTTCGAACCCTAATCTTCTCTATAACCGCTAATACTTCTACTATCTCTACAACTACGAGGTTTAAACTGA